CCCCAAAACCCCAAAACCCCAAAACCCCATTTCCAATTTAATTTATTTCTAAATAATCATAATTTTATAATAAAATGAGTGAGGATCAGTCGGTTAATCAAAGTGTTGAGGAAATTGATGAAGAGCTTCGCAAGAAAATTGCTTTATACTATCACCCACTATTCCAGGCATCTCTAGCCCAGTGGATAATTCAGATGCAAACTAAGAATTATACGACTTTATCAATGGAGCAGTACAGAGACTTAAATATTCGAATTCAAAAATCTCTCATTCTTGACTTTGACTATGATGCTGCAGCTTCTTCAGCTTTTGAAGATTGGAAAATCGATATTGAGAGGGAAAAATTTGATCAAGAATTTGAATCCAAGAAAAAGGAAGATGACTCAAATTCTCCATCTCCTGATAAAGTGAAAGACTATAGCAAAGAGACTCTTGATTATGAAAGACTATCTGAATTCTTCTTTGATCTCTGCTTATCTTGGTGTCAGCATTTAGACATTGAGACTTTCTTATACTTCTTAAATGGAGTTTTTCTAAATATAACAACTGGTGCTCATATAAGCATAAGTAATTTCAAATAAACTCGAAAATATAAATGTTCTCTCTATTGGTTTCTTTGATACCCTCATTAAGTACAGAACTGATTTAGAGAATACTCAAGAGCAGGATTACAAAGACTGGTATGATTGGAACTTCAAGAGAACCCATGAAATTGTCAAAAGAGTAGAAGCCAACTTGGCCAATATTTTTGATCCTCAGGATAAGAGAGCTTTCGATATATGGATGGACATTCCAGAAAACATTGGCAATAGCTATATAGACTCTCATATTGAAAAGCTTGACAAGCAGCTGAAGAATATGAGCAAAATCAATCAGAAAGCGGATACAATGGCGAAGACAATTACAAATATTGACACTATTAAAAGGATGTCAGCAAAGGCAGAGAAGCCAGGGATTTCATATCCAAGAGAATTTGATTTATACCCTCGTAGGGATGATTCAGAGATCCCTGAATCTCAAATAGGCAGACAATACAAAGAGTCAACTACTTCAGTATATCAGCAAGAAGAAGTACCTCAAAAATTTAAGAAGCAGAAATAAATTTGAAAAATCAGTTATTGCAACTCTCCCTCAAGAATATAAAAATGCCAAGCTGATTGAGATCACAGAGACTTCTTACTTAATAAGAAATGAAGTCAAGCTCCCTATCTTTGGGCGACAAATCCAATTGAACGAGAGGGACAGAGGCAAGAAGGATATCTCACAACTAATGCAAAGTCTTTTTTGGAAGAAAGGGACTAGGCCTGTCTCTCATTCCACCATCAAAGAGGAAGAAGAAAAATTATTTTCAAAACAGAAGGGAAATATTGACCTTAAGGCTGAAAATGTTGAACAAGATTCAATAAAACCAGACCAAATGGAACCAAAAGAGGAAAAGAAGGACCAAGAAGAGGAAGAATGTGACGAAAGCTATGAGCAGATAGAAGTAGATGTACCTCAACCAGGGGATCCTGAATATGAAAAGATCCAAGATCAGAATCAAGCAATCAAAAGGCTTATCATCAATGTTGATAGCCTTATCAAAAACTTTAATGCACAAGGTAACCAGCAGGCTAAAGATGAATTGGAAGAAATCATTAGACAAGAGATTGATAAAGAAATGCTTTTGTCCCCAAATGAAAAGAAAACTATTGAAGTTCTTGTCCTTGATTATCTCCAGAACAATAAAAGTGTTCTAGATCTCATCAGTTTAGCTAAATTAGAAGAAGATTTCAAACTTCAACAAGAATTTGATGGTGATGAAGACAGCGCTCGTAGATCTGAAGATAAGCAAATGCAAGAGTTGAATTGGAGACTTCCTGATACTCAACAATATATGGAACTAATTGCTCAAAGAGTGCCAAATAAGTATGAAACAGTTACCGAGATCAAGTATAAAATACCAATGAAATGGACCAAAAAGTTCAATGTCGATGATATCGTCCCTCATAAAGAGAAGCTTAGTAGTGCTATTCAAAAAGAAGGAGGAATGGTCAATAACTACATGAAGATGAAGAGAAAGAAGCTTATGAAAAAGAAAAAGTCTGGCAAAATCTCTGAATCTGTTCATCCCGCTCTATCCAAAGTACAAACAGAGTTCATGCAAGAAATCTCAACTCCACAGGAGCATCTAAGGCAAACAGATAAAGATGATATTGGGCAAGTTGAGGAAGAGAAAAAGTTGCCAAATGAACAAGAGATAAAGGCTAATGAAACAGATGGATTTGATCACCTTCAGGGAGAGTCAATGTTCCAAAGCAAAGATCAGAAAAATGTTCCTTTGTCCAATACAATGCTGAAGGAATCTCTATCTAGCAGGAAGGAAAGCCCTATGAATGAGACAACTGAGGCGATTAATTTCCCTAAGCCTGATAAAAGTGAGGAATCAAAGACATTACTTCAGAAACATAAGCAATTAGCTCCTATTCAGAGGGAAAAAGAGAAGAATAAACAGAATATGGAGAACTATACAGAACATGACATAATCAATGACAATATAAAGGATGATGATGACTATACTCCCCAAGTAGAGTCTCCGAGGAGTGAGGTCCCTTTTGATGCAAGATCTCGTGACTTAACAAATGCCGAGGTTGGATTAGACTATTCTCAAATCAAAGCTCAGTACAAACCTGAACCATATAATATTGATGAAATTGAGCACTTATTTATTGAAGGAAAGATTCCTAAAGAAATTTACAACATTGAAGACCCAATGGAATACAACTATTTGCTCGTGAAGCTCAAGAAGGAGTTTAATGACAAGACTAGAAGTGAGTTCCTCAAATACATGAACCTTCAACTCCCTTACAATTCAAGGAGAGATGAAGTCGGAGGCGTCATCACTGATGATGATTGGACTGACTTTGTTGTAAGAATGCAGAAAATGATCAAAAGAGTTAGAAGAAAGAGAAGGAGAATCATCAGGAGAAGGAAAAAGAAAGGAAAGAAATTAATGCCAAGGAAGACATTATTCAAACCTAAGAAGAAACCAAACCTTGCTAAAGACCCTCTTTGGAGAGAGGTGTTCCTTGATGAAGATTCTGAAGACTCAACTGTTGAGGATACTGATATTTTCGAAAGATCTGAAGAAGGATTTAAAGTCAGGCAAGAAAAGCCAAAACCTAAATTCTTTGAAAGAAAAGAAAAATTTAAACTTCCAGATTTATACAAACCACTAGTCAATGGTATTTTATCTTAACAATTTTATAGAGTCCAAAAAGATACATAAAGAGAAAGAATATACATTTAAGTCTCATTTAAAAGATCAGATACCCAAAAATCCAACTAGCCCTCTAAAGGGCAGTCTAAAGAATAAGAAATTACTGGATGAGAGCCCAGCTAGAAAATACTTCAACCTTCACTTTGTGAAGCATGGGAACAAAGTGATTAAGAATGCTCCTAAAAAGATCTAATTTCAATTTCCATCTTTTAAATTGGGGTTTTGGGGTTTTGGGGTTTTGGGGTTTTGGGG